CGGCCAGCCCGCGGCCCGCTTCTCCTGACCCCGCAGGGCCGTCCGCCCTTTCAGAGGCATCTTGCCCAGCTCTTCCCCGAGGCTTCGGGGGGCTCCAAGGGCCCGAGCACATGGCCTGCGGCACTCGGCTCCTGCAGGGTCTGGCCCTGCTGCGGACCAGCACCCCTGGGCTTGGCGGGCAGATCGTGTCTACCCCGTCCCCCGCAAGAAGTCGAAGCCAACAGCGTGCTGTACAGGGCTGTGGCGAGGTGGAGCGGTCCTCAGAGAGTGACGGGCCTTCGTGGCCGGTGGCCCCCCGTTTACCCCGCCATCTGTGCTTGCTTGCAGGTGGCCATCATTGCGGGGAACTTTGAGCTGGCCGAAATCATCAAAACCCACAAGGAGTCCGACGTTGGTGAGTGTGGCCTTGGGGCTTTGGGTAGGGCTGGGGGGGGGGTGGCAAGGGGCACGGTCATGCAGCCCTGCCGAGGAAGAGAGGATGCCCGCCCAGGAGTCTCCGGCGGGGGCGGGGGGTGCAGGGCAGGCAGGAGGGAAGGTGAGCAGCCATGCCAGGCTTCAGGAGCCGGAGGAAGCCACGGAGCCCCTCCGGCAGCCACCGTCGTCCTCCCGTTCCCGAGCTCAGGGCTGGCCAAGTCCTGCTTCTCTCAGCCTCTCGTGGCTGGGCCGAGCACCTGCTTTTCTCCAGCTCCCCCCCCCCGCCCCCCAGTCGGTGGTGGAAGCACGTCTGAGGCAGGCACTTCGCGTTGCCCTCCCCAGCATCTCCCTTGCCCTCTCCTCCTTTCGGGAGCTCAACGATGTTGCTGCTGCCGAACGAACGGCTTTAAAAGGCACGGAGCCTCCAAAATGGGACCCCTCCCTCAAGAGGGGCCTTCTGCTTGCAGCAAGAAGGGAGGGGTCTGCTCTAGCTGGTCTTTGCTCTTTTCCTGGATGCTCTCAGTCAGACAGGTCGGAAGAGGGAATCTGCTCACCGCCTTCTGAGCTATCCCACAAATGCGCGTGCAGGGACGACGTTCTTAGCACATCTGAACTGGCCCCTGGCCTCCTCGTGCTATTTCCGGTGTCAGGGCCGTGCTGTTTCTGTGCTTGCAGATGCAGAATTCCGACCATGGGGGGGGGGGGAATCCTTCACCCATGTCTCCCCACCTGTCGGATTCTGGTCCCCCATCACTGCTTCCTCTCTGCAGCCTCTGCCCAGAGATTCACTTGCACCCATTGCCCGCCCAAAGGGCATTTCCTTGCAGGGGTGGCAGAGGGGAGCTCCCCGTCCCTTCTGGAGGACGCAGAACTGGCCCTCCATTGCCAGGTGTGTTGGAGGCTAGAAGACCCAAGGGTGCCTCCTCAGACTTCTGGCGATGGCCACCAAGAAGCTTCAAGTGAGGGGCAACAATTAGCACCCTCTTCCACCCCCACTGCCCAGCCTTCCATTTTATGAGCTCCAATGGGAATAGCAGCTGGAGGGGGCATCCGTGGGGCTCAGGCACCTTCCGGTTCTTCCAGATGGTTCCTACAACTCAAAGCATGAAACTTGGGCATGAATGGGACCAGGGCCAGCTTTAGGCTAAGGCTGAATGGCGCTGCCTAGGGCACCAAAGCTTGGGGGCCGCCAACACCGCCCCTCCTTCCAAATCTTTCTAAAAGTGCAAATCTTCGCCATATTGGCAGGAGGTGGCACCATCAGTCAAGGTAGCCTAGGGGTGCCATATACCCGGAGGGGGCTGGGTCAGTTTAGTAGCCCACCCGCTTCCGTTCCATGTTCAAGAGGAGGAGGAAGACGTGGTCCTTGTGGTCCCTTCCAGCTCCACAATTCTATGACCCTGATTCTGGGAGGAAGAGGGCAGCCTGTGGGTGCTGCAGCCTGAAAAGATGCAGAAGTGGCAGGTCAGTCATCTGGCCCTGCCAGTTCAATGCCAGTCCAGGGCTCCCTGAGATGGCTTCCCAGGGCTGGTGACTTTGCTTCTGCCAGAGCACTCGCTGGTTGGCCCTGGGCTTCCTCCTGCCACTCGTGCATGCCCCCACCTGGCAAGCTGGGTGAGAAGAGACCCCACGTGGTATCTCGAGGGATGCCAGACTTCCGGGCTACGCACCACCCGTGCCTGTCATGGCTGCACTTGGAAAAGACAAGATCTTTCCTTTCCTGCTCACTCCAGAAC